CCGAATTCCATAAAGATAAATGTGTATCTTACCTGTGTATTTAATTCTAAGTGTAAGGTAACTTATATAAAATAGCATAATAAGCACAAGTAAAAGATCATCTTAAAGGATAATTAAAGAAGATGAAATACTTTGTTAGGCTATTCTGACAAATGTTAACCACTGAATACTTGCATCTGCTTTAATGGGGTTTGTGTTGTTTCAACATAATTAGGAGGGAATTTCGGGCTTGTGAACACAAAACTTCCTGTTGAAATTAATGGTATTTATATATTTATGAGAATTTATCCTAACCAGGAGGTTTTCAATATCAAATTACCCTTGACGGGCAAAGGAAGATTTATATGACTTAAATCCCTTGGTTTCACAAATACTAATACTTAGAATGAGGCTAAAGCAAGTAATGCCTACTGAAATTTTTTAAAGACAATCTTAAAAAATGAAGTAAGTAACACTCAGACAAATTTAAATATGCCAGTAATTATAAAGGAAGCACTATCTAGCATTTAGAAAACATAAGGGATCCCACAACCCAATCTATTACCAGACTGCCAAACAGAAGGGAATCTAGGGCTGGTGGTTCATGCCGTACTGCAGTGAGTTGCACCACCCTAGAGTCCAGGGTTACTCAGTCTATCCTGTCTCTCAACTCATACTGATCATGCAGGGCCTTGTACACCCATGGATTTGATTCTAAATGCAATGAGATGAGGCTGGAGAGTCTTACGCAAAGGATTTATAAGATCTGATTTGCTTTAAGGATCAAATATGCTGATGAATGTGAAAGGGCTAGGTAAATTCCAAAGCATCACACCAGCATATTTTATTACCTTGACAGAGCACAACGAAAAAGAGAGAAGAAACTGAAACCCAAACTAAAACCCAAGACAGGCCCATTTGAAATCACGTGGCCAGTCATCATCTCCCAGGCTTCCCTTATGTCCCATTTAGGCAGATAGGGAAGACTAGGAGAAGGACCAGGTTTGGTGGAAGAGGAAGCAGGATTAAGTTTGAGATGCCCATTACATCGATGTAGAAATGCAGAGAAAGAAGCTGGATATATACCTCATCATCTAGAGCTAAAGGGAGAAAATAGGAATGGAAATACAGACTCAGGATCCATCAGAATATAGAACATTTACTACTAACAATACAAGCTAACCTCAATAGTAGCAAGTAATGTACTTATAGTTGAGTATGTTTTAGTCACTATTTTTAGACTTTTGTATACATAAACTCACTTGGGCATCGCTGCAATCTTAGGTTAGGTCCTATGATTATACTTACTTTACAAATGAAGAAACTTAGACATAAAGAGATTAAGTAACTCACCTAAAGACACATATCAAGTACATACCAGAGCCAGGCTTCAAACCTAGGCAATCTGACTCTGGAACGCTTTTTTCTTTTTTTTTTTAGTAACTGTCACCCAGGCTGGAGTGCAGCGGCACGCTCACAGTTACCACAACCTCGACCTGCTGACCTCAGGTGAACCGTCCACCTTAGCATTCCAAGCAGTTGGAGCTACAGGCATATGCCATTGGCTAATTTTTTGATTTATTGTAGAGACGAGGTCTTGCCAAGTTGCCCAGGCTGGTTCCGAACCTCTGGGATCAGGCAATCCTCCCACCTCCACCTCCCAAAGTGTGGGATTACAGACGTGACCTACCATGCCCGTCTCGGAACGCTTTTAAAGCCATGGGACTGCTTGGGAATTGAGTACAGATAGAAATAGGGCTGAGGATACAGAATTTCAATTCAAGCAATTTTCTGAATTCTGAATATCAAGTCCTGGTATAGTTTCAGGCTCTGCAGGTAAAATGAAAAATAAGACACAGTCCCTTCAAAAAGCTCAGTCTAACCAGGCACAATGGCTCACGCCTGTAATCCTAGCACTTTGGGAGGGTGAGACGAGAGGAATGCTTGAGCTCAGAAGTTCAAGACCAGCCTGGGCAACATAGCAAGGCCTCATTTCTACAAAAAAATAAAAAATCAGCCAGGTGTGATGGTGCATACTTGTAGTCCCAGCTACTTGGGAGGCTGACATGGGAGGATCACCTGAGCCCAGGAGGTCCAAGCTAGCTGAAAGTAACTACTTATTAAACATCTGCTGTGTGCCACACTAGCTTTTTAGACATATTCTTTCACTTAATTCTCCTAACAATCCTGTCAGATAGATATTATCACCAATTGAAAAATAAAGAAACCAAAGTTGAGAAAGGTTAAGTAACTAAACCTTGGTCTCTCAACAAGCGAATGACAGAAGTAGGATTCAATTCACCTTACTTTAAAATCACCTTACTTTAAAATCTGGTCTTTTCCAAGGAAATTCCATCATATGCTACAACATGTTGAGCCTTGAAGACACTATGCTAAGTGAAATAAACCAGCCACAAAAAGAGAAATAAATATTGTTTGATTCCACTTATATGAGGTTATCTAAACTATAGTCAAATTCACAGGAACAAAAAGTAGATGGGTGGTTACCAGTGGCTGGGGAGGGAGAAATGGGAAGTTGTTCAATGGGTATAGAGTTTCAGATTTGCAAGAAGAAAAGTTCTAGGAATCTATCTCACAACAACGTGAGAATACGTCACACTGCTGAACTTGTACTCTTAATGGTTAAGGGGGCAAATTTTATGTTACTCTTTTAACAATTAAAAAATATTGTTAAATTTGGTCTTTTCCTACTATACAACATGCCGTAATGGATATGCTTACTGTGCTAAAAAAAAATATGGCTCCATGAGCAAATAATTTATTCTGCAAGGCTGGAGAGGGAGGGTGTGGCAAGGAATAAACTAAAGAAAATGACTAAGAAAAAATATTTGAGTCGGGCTCAGTGGCTCAGCCTGTAATCCCAGTGCTTTGGGAGGCTGAGGTGAGTGGATTGCCTGAGCCTGCGGGTTCGAGACCCACCTGGACAAGTTGGCGTAGACCTCATCTCTACAACAAATCAAAAAATCAGCCGGGCATGGTAGCGCGTGCCTGTAATTCCGGCTACTCGGAAGGCTGAGGCAGAAGGATCGTCGGAGCCCAGTAGGTCGAGGCTGCAGTGGCCGCTCCTGGCCACTGCACTCCAGTCTGGGCGACAGAGTGAGATTCCAACTCAAAAAAAAAAGAAAAAAATATTTGAAAGATGAAGGCCCCCACTTTATTCTCCATATAGTTCTGGGCAGGGTCCCTATCACAACCTTTGGAACTCTGAAACATTCTCACAACTATCTATTACCACCATAACCTGCTTCACCAGGATCAAGAATATGCCAAGAGCCTTCTATCTGGTGAGCTTTTCTAGGCTCCTTCCAGTCTAAGTTATTCAGTCCTGGAAACACATTGTTTCCTAAATTGCCTCATTCTTCCTGCTAAAGAACCTCTGTGGCTCCCTATTACTCTCAGAACATAGACTATCAGGATAGGTGTTAGGAGAACATATCACTTAACCTTTCTGAGATTCAGTTTCCTCATCTGTATGAAGAGATGACTCCTAATGACTAACTCAAAAGATTGAGGATTAAATAAAGACACTATATGCCTTGCACCAGCTTGATCCAAAGTATGTGCTCAATAAAGGTTAGTTAGTCCTCTTTATACACACTCAGCTCAGTAGAGTATTTCAGCTTAAAGGATGGAGCAAGTATTTCCAGGATCTTCTTAAGGCAGGTAGAGAAGAACTCAAGGAGAAAAAGGTTGCTCATCTACAGTTGCCTGATGCCCAGAAAACTACTACTCACTCAAAATGCTCCTTCATCTGCAGCCCCCCATACAAACAGACCATTTAGCCTTTATTTTACTTTATCCTTTTAGTTATTTGAGTAAGTAATGTTCAAATGATTCAAAAATTAAATTCAAATATAAAATTATACTGCAAAAAGTCTCACTCCCATTCTCTCCTTCATTCACCCAATTTCCATCCCACTCCCAGTAACCACTTTATTACTTTGTGTATCCTTCAAAACTTTATGAAAAAGCTGTCTTTAAATAAAGCTAATATTTACAGGTGTATTTGCAAGGTCTGGGGTGGGAGAGGGTGGAAGAGTGAGGAGACTAAGTCTTACATATCCTGCTTTACCCTAAAGCAGTGTCCTTCACTCATTCAAAAAACATCATCATCATCATCATATATTGGGCACCTATTATAAGCCAGATACTAAGTATAACATTAGCTGATTACCCTTCAGACCTTATATGCAACAGAAATGCATTAATGCTTTACACAATTGTCTCTTTGGATCTTCACAGCGACCTTAAAACGGTAGGTTACTAATTCTCATCTCCATCTTTACAAAGGAGGAATCTGAGGCACAGAAGGGTAACCTGGTCAAGCAAGAGAGCAGGGTTCTGAATCCAGGCCTGACTCCAGAGTCCTCCCCCTTAAGCATGACGCTCTACGCTGGCAAAACAGATACAGTCTCTGCACCCGTGGGAGTTCGGCCTAACGTGGGAGACAGGCCAGAAAGAGGCAGACGACAAAGAAATATAGACTAAGAAAGTAATGTGAACGAAACTACTTCAGGGCTGCGACAGAATAACAATGGAAACCTACTTTAGAAAGGGAGAGGAGAGAATGTCAAGGAAAGGCCTCTCTGAGAAAATGACATTTATAATACACTTAAGAACGATTTAGGGACTGAAATGATGGCACCACCCCCTGCCCCATTCACAGGGGAGAGACTCAGGCCCACAGACACTGAAGCAAACCTGCCAGGATCCCCCAGCCGTGAAGACGTGGCGCAGAGAAAGGAGGATCCATAAACAGGGCCCACGCCACCAATGCCCACAACAGCCCAGCCCGCTCGGCCCCTGCCCATGGGCCTCAAGCCAGCTGTTGCCCACGGCCCCGCCGCGGCTGACAGCGTCGGAGCGGTTCACAGGGAGGCCCTGCCACTGGCCAAGAGGGGTCTGGCCCGTCCCGCAGCGGCCCGGAAAGGCCTCTTCCCCGGCCCCCCGCCAGCTCCCGCCTGATCCGCCCGCCCCGCCCCTTCGGGCCAGCCTCGTACCTGCACCGCCCGGGTCAGGCCCCGGCCGGTCAGCTGGCCCTGTCGCAGCTGCAGCAAAACGTTACTGGGCCGCGGCCGGCCGCCCCACCCGCCCCAAGCCGCCACTGTTGCTGCGGACCGTCGCCCTCGGCCGACCCCAGCTGCCGCTGGCGCAACCGCCATGTCTCCTCCTCCGACAAACAGGAAGCAAGCGCCCTCGGGTCAGCGTAGATTCCTACGGGGTGGGAGGGGTCGCCGCAGCGCCCCCCGCGGGCCGACGGCGGAGACGCAAGACGCGTGGCGGAGGCCATGCGTACCGCGGGGTCTGCCGGGAAGTATAGTCTTGCTCGGAGACGGAGTGAGTGGTAAAGCAACGCGGCGTTTCCCGCACTTCCTGTTTCTGCCCCCCCCACCCCCCCGCCAGTCCAGCACTTCCGCGAAGTCTCCCAAGGCCTAAGACCGGCCTCTGCTTGCGTGCTCTCCCATTCTCCGCCCGGTCGGGGAGGACGCAGCCCGCTTCAGGCCAAGACTTTGGGCCCAGCCGCTTCTCTGCCCGACTCGACACCGACCTCTACCAGTCACCGCGTTCCGCCACCGCGCCTCAAATTTCCTCGTTGGTTCTGATCAATCATTAGTTCCCAGGAGTCGGCTCTGCCCCCGACACCGAACGAGTTGCAGGGAAGGAAGGTGTCGGGCGCATTGAACAGAACGGCCTCGGACCCGGTCACGAAATGCAAGTTACTGGTGAGACCGCAGATCCATGCACAAATAAACACACAACACACTGGATAAGCTGTGCGACTGAACAGGTTGTTGTGGGATTAAATAAAATAATGGAAGGGAAAGGAATTAGTAAATTGTGACATCATACTCCCTGTCAGATGGAACCCTGTCCTAATTTCTCCCCACCAGATAGTATGCTGTTTACATTACTATCCCGCTCATTCTTGCGGCAAATTTCTATGGCCAGGATGACGTTCACTTCCCCTTTTCTCTTCCTAGGAAGAGGTTTGTCACATAAATGAAAGAGGAGTTCCGTGATGTAGGAGGGAATGGCGAAAATTGTGACGCCTAAGGCGGCTGCAATTTATCGCCCAAGCCAGAGCACTTTTAAGAATAAAAAGAACACAATAAATCATTGCACCGGGCCAATGGGCACACAGGGAACTGTCCTAGGCAAACTGGTTACCATCCTCATGTACCATTTAAAAGGCGTGGTCTCTACTCACCTCTAGCATATTGTTGTTGGATCTTCTGACTTTAAAAAAAAAAAAGTCACAAACCAGGCTCTGTGGCTCAACCTGTATTCCCGCGCCTTGGGAGGCTGAGGTGAGTGGATTGCCTGAGCCCGCGGGTTCGAGACCCGCCTGGGCAACTTGGTGAGATCTCATCTCTACAATAAGTAAAAAAATTAGCTGGGCGTAGTAGCGCGCGCCTGTAGTTCCAGCTACTTGGAAGGCTGAGGTGGAAGGATCGCCGGAGCCCAGCGGGTCGAGGCTGCGGTGGCCGGGAGCGGCCACTGCACTCCAGTCTGGGCGACAGAGTGAGACTCCAACTCAAAAAAAAAAAAAAAAGAAAAGAAAGAAAAAGAAATAAAAGGCATCCAAATTGGAAAGGAAAAAGTAAAATTATTTCTGTTTGCAGATGACATGATCTTATATGTAGAAAACCTTAAAGATTTTATACAAACACATGCACACACAAGCTGCTAGAGCCAATATATGGATTCAGCAAGTTTATGGCATACAAAATCAATACACAAAAATCAGTTGTGCCTGGCGAGTATAGCCCCAGCTACTCAGAAGGATGAAGCAGGAGGTCCTCTTGAGGACAAGAGTTCAAAGCTGCAGAGCACTATGAATATACCATTGCACTCTAGGACGATGTAATGAGACCCTGTATCTTAAAAAAAAAAAAAAAATCCAGCCGGGTTCAGTGGCTCAGCCTGTAATCCCGCGCCTTTGGGAGGCTGAGGTGAGTGGATTGCCTGAGCCCGCGGGTTCGAGATCTGCCTGGGCAGGTGAGACCTCATCTTTACAATAAATCAAAAAATTAGCCGGGCGTGGTAGCGTGCGCCTGTAATTCCGGCTACTCAGAAGGCTGAGGCGGAAGGATCGCCGGAGCCCAGCGGGTCGAGGCTGCGGTGGCCGGGAGCGGCCACGGCACTCCAGTCTGGGTGACAGAGTGAGACTCCAACTCAAAAATAAATAAATAAATAAATAAATAATAATAATAAAAATAAACATTGCTGGAAAAAACTAAAGAAACAAATGGAAAGACATTCAGTGCTTGGATTGAAAGACTTAATACTGTCAAAAGGTCCATTAACCCAAAGCAATCTACAGATTCAATGCAGTCTCTATCAAAATCCTAATGGCATTTTTTTTTTTGCAGCAATAGAAAAAAAAAATCCTAAAATTCATATGGAAGCTCAAAGGACCACAAACAAAGTCAGAGGCCTGCTGGGCTGTGGTGAGCCTTCAGCCTCAGCCTTCGAAGTAGTTGGGACTACAGGCCCGCAACACTGCTTTCAGCTATTTACATTTCCTAAAAACAAAACATATTACAGCCAGACCTGATGGTTCACGTCTGTATTCTCAGCACCTTGGGAGGTGGAGATGAGAGGATTGCCTGAGCCCAGCCTGGGAAACTTGTGGAGACCTAGTTTCTAGAATAAATCAAAAAATAGCTGGGAGTGGTGTTGCAGGCCTCTAGTCCCAACTACTTGGAAGGCTGAGACAGAAGGCTCACCTGAGCCTAGCAGGTGGAGGCTGCGATGGTCATAAGTGTGCCACTGTGTTCTAGCCTGGGCAACAGAGTGAGACTCTGACTCAAAACAAAAAACAAACAAAAAACATAAAAACATATTACAAAGTTGTAGTGACCAAACGGTGTGGTACTGGCATAAGAACACACATAGATGAACAGAATAGAGAACCAGAAACAAATCCTCACTCATATGCAAAATGATTTTCAACAAAGGTGCTAAGACCACACACAATGGGGAAAGGACAGGCTCTTCAACAAATGGTGCTGGGAAAACTGGATATCTACATGCAAAAGAATGAAGATGAACCTTTATTTGACACCATACACATAAATTAAAATGGAGCCGGCCCAGTATCTCACACCTGTAATCTCAGCATTTTGGGAGGCAGAGGCGAGAGGATTGCCTGAATCCAGACAAGACCAGCCTGGGCACTCGGTGAGACCTCATCTCTACAATAAAAACTTTAAAAATTAGCTGGGCATGGTGGCATACACCTGTTGTTCCAGCTACTTGGAAGGCTGAGGCAGAAGGAAGCATGAGGGTTGCCTGAGCCCAGCAGGTCAAGGCAGCAGTGGCCATAAGCATGTGACTGCACTACAGCCTAGTGACCGAGTGAGACGCCAACTCAAAAAAAATGAATTAAAGACCTAAAGCCGGGCTCGGTGGCTCAGCCTGTAATCCCGCACCTTTGGGAGGCTGAGGTAAGTGGATTGCCTGAGCCCGCAGGTTCAAGACGCGCCTGGGCAGCGAGACCCTATCTCTACAATAAATCAAAAAATCAGCTGGGCATGGTAGCGCATGCCTATAATTCTGGCTACTTGGAAGGCTGAAGTGGAAGGATTGCCAGAGCCCAGTAGGTCGAGGCTGCAGTGGCCGGGAGCAGCCACTGCACTCCAGTATGGGCGACAGAGTGAGATTCCAACTCAAAAAAAAAAAAATTAAAGACCTAAACGTAAGACCTAAAACTATAAAATGTCTAGATGAAAGCAAAGAGGAAAATCTTCATGAAATTGAATTTAGCAATGATTTACTTGCTATAATACCAAAAGCACATGCAACAAAAGCAAAAGTAGACAAACGGGACTACCTCAAACTTTAAAACAAGTTGTGTCATCAAAAGAACACAACAGAGTGTGAGAAAATATTTGCAAACCACGTATCTGATAAGGAGTTAATATCCAGAACATATAAAGAACTCCTACAACTCAATAAAAACAAAAACAACCAGATTTTTAGGTTGAGCACAAGACTTATTCCTAAAGAAGATATACGAATGTTCAACAAGCATATGAAAAGATGTTCAGCAGCACTTCACTAATCATTAGAGAAATGCAAATCAAAACTACAAATACACTCAGTAGGATGGACACTAAAAAATAATAACAACATGTTGGCAATGATGTGGAGAAATTGGAATCCTTTTGCACTGTTTGTGGGAATGTAAAATGATGCAGTTACTATGGAAAACAGTACAGAGGTTCCTCAAAAAAGTACAACTAGACTTACCATAAGGTCTAGCAATCCCATGTCTGAGTATGTATCTAAAAAATTAAAAACAAGATCTCAGAGAAATATCCGAAAACCTATACTCATAACAGAATTATTCACTATACATAGTCAAGAGGTGGAAACAGGCCAAGTGTTCATCAATGGATGAATGAATTAACAAAATGTAGTATATCCGTACAGTGAAATATTATTCAGCCTTGAAAAAAAAGGAGACTGGGCATGATGGCTCATGCCTGCAAATCCTAGCAATTTGGGAGGCCAAGGCAGGAGGATTGCTTGAGCCCAGGAGTTCAAGACCAGCCTGGGCAATATAGTGAGACCCTGTCTCTACAAAAAATGAAAATAAAAATTAGCTGGATGTCGTGGCACATGCCTGTAGCCTCAGTTACTAGGGAGGCTGAGGTGGGCAGATCACTTGAGCTCAGGAGGTCAAGACTGCAGTGAGCCGGGACGCTGTACTCCAGCATGGGCAGCAGAGTGAGACCCTGTTAGGAAGGAAGGAAAGGAGGGAGGGAGGGTCGGAGGGAGCATGGGAAATATGCCAGTCACAAAAGGACAAAAACTGTTTGATTCCACTTATATGAAGTATTTAAAATAGCTAAACTTACAGAAACAGAGAGTAGAAGGCAGTTACTGGGGAGGGATTGTGGAGTTGTTCAATAGGTACGGAATTTCAGTTTTGCAAACTGAAAAAGTTCTAGAAATGGCTTTCACAAAATGAAGCAGATTATAGGGGAATAGGCAAAATTATGATCCCATTAATGTATAAGTAAGCATACCTACACTATGAGTTATATGCATAGAATTACCTGAAAGAAATGTCACCCAAAATGTCAACTGTGGCTATCATAGTGTAGACAGATTTCAGGTGATTTTTTACTTTATTAAAAATTTTCATAATTTTTTGCACAGGCCACGTATCAGTTTTACACTCAAGAAAAAAAGAGTCTTTTAATACTCAAAATTGATTTTTAAAAGAAATGAAAATA